CGGGAAGATGCTGTCTGTGACGTGGGGATCTCGGGAAGATGCTGTCTGTGATGTGGAGGGCAGCCCCACAGAAAGGGCTTCAGACTCTGTGACAGAACCTGGTGGAGGAAGGACGGGATGAGACGTGAAGGCTCAATGGGAGGATGGAAGATGAATTGGAAGTTGTCTTCCGAAAAGTGGTACAAAATACATAAAGAGAAGGAAAACCAAAGAGAAAAGATGTTTAAACATGGCAGATTCTGTCAAGAAGGCCCAACACAGAAATAACGGGTTCCAGGAAGAAGGGAGAGCAGGGAAGGGGGGACATTCCTCAGGGGTTCACCGCAGATGGGTTCCAGATGCGAGGGCGTGGGAGCTGCGCCAGCAGCTTCGTGCAGTGGCCAAAGAGGGGTGTCCCTGTGGCCACCCACAGGGGCACGTTGTGAAATTTCTCAACACTAACAAAAATGGAAGAGCCTCCAAACCTCCGGACGAGCAGCTGCCGTCAGAGGGGCAGGAATAGCAATGGGTTCTGCGGTCTCAGCAGCAGCTCCGGGACAAAGCCTGCCTGCACTAAGGAAAGTTACCTCTGCCCAGAGGTCCTGGCTCCGCTGGACTCACAGACCCTGCAGGTGCACATCTCCCAAGACAAAGTCCGTGGACTTGCTATCTTGGGACACACCCAGCAATGTGCCTCACCACCACCTGCAGGCCAGGAGGTGTGGACCCGGGACACGGGGCATGTGGGTCAGGCCCAAGACCTTGCAGGCAGGAGCTGGAGAGCGGCTGGGTGGGAAACAGACACAGCGCCAGATGGGCATCACCCTGAAAGCAGCAGAGGGGCTGAGGTGCTGATGTCCCTGCACAGCCAGAGTGTCGCACATGAGGAACGCGCCGATTCAGCTAAAACTCTAATTCTGCCGTTTTGGGAGGCCGCCTTCCGGGGGAGACATCCATACCAAATGCCAAGAGGCCACAGCCCAAGGACATTGTCTGGAAACAGGGAGGCCAAAGCGAGACCCTTTCAACATCGGCCGGCAGGCGGCGACGGATGCGGGGGCGGGGCGGGGGTGACACCTGCTTTTTCTTTTTCTTTTTTTTTTTTTTTGAGATGGGTCTCTCTCTGTCACCCAGGCTGGAGTGCAGTGGTGCGATCTCAGCTCACCACAGCCTCCGCCTCCTGGGTTCAAGTGATTCTCCTGCCTCAGCCTCCTGAGTAGCTGGGATTACAGGCACGCACCACCACACCCAGCTAATTTTTGTATTTTTAGTAGAGACAGGGTCTCACCACGGTGGCCAGGCTGGTCTTGAACTCTTGACCTCATGATCCGCCTGCCTTGGCCTCCACAGTGCTGGGGTTACAGGCATGAGCCACTGCACCCAGCCTGAGCCTACTTTTCTTATTAGCCTTGTAGAATCACTTGGCATTTATGCATGAACATGACTTTGATGAAAATAAAAATCTTAAAATGTGTTAAAACAGCAGCAGAGGCTGTGCCTTTTTCCACAGACAGTACCCTCAGGTGGCCTCCCTGAGCCTGGAGAAGCTGAGTCCGAAGGTGCTGAGCAGGCAGGTCTTACGTCTGCAGGAGCAGTTCGGCATGGTCCCGGGTGAGTTCACGGATCAGCGTGGTCCCGGTGAGTCCACGGTTCGGTGCGGTCCCAGGTGAGTCCACGGTTAGGAGCGGTCCCGGTGAGTCCACGGTTAGGAGCGGTCCCGGTGAGTCCACGGTTCGGCGCGGTCCCGGGTGAGTCCACGGTTCGGCGTGGTCCCGGTGAGTCCACGGTTCGGTGTGGTCCGGGTGAGTCCAGCCCCACACTCTTGCTTGGCCAGGCTCTTGTTCTGTGATTGCGCTGCTGGTTGTTCAGGCACCAACCTTCCCAGAGAGCCCCTTCCTGCCTCCTGCCCTGCTCCTGCCAGAGTGCCCGCAAGGTGGGCCTGTCCTGGGCCCTGCTGCTGAGCAGCCGAGCAGCCTGTGAGCTCCTCCGCCCACCTAGGGTGACTCCGGGGGGCTTCCTGCCTCCTGGCTGGCTGCAGAGCTGAGGGTGAGTGCTGAGTCTCAGTCGCCAGGACTCTGTGGCCACTCCTCCCAGGCCCCTCTGGACAGACTGATGGCCACACCTGCCTGTGTGGTTGGACACCAAGGGAAGCCAGGCCCCTTTGTTCCCAGGACCCCCGCCAGGGCCGGGAAGATGCGTTGAGGCCCCATCCATGGGGCCGTGAGTCTCAGAAGGGTGCAGGCTGGTGCCTGTCTGGCAGTTTGGGTTCATCTGGATTTTGCAGCGTTTCTAGGTTCTCAGCATGGGTAGGCTGCAGCCCGGACCCCTTCCATCGGTGCAGTACTGTAGCTAGCCTTTGAGCACAGTATCCCGCTGGCAAAGTTATGCCAAAAAGCATGGAAATGTCAGGAAAGCTGCTCCCGTCTGTCCGCAGAGCTGAGGGAACCCCTCTGCAGCCACCCCCGGGCTGCCAGCCATGCCCTCTCTCAGTAACTTCTGCCTCTCTCCCTTCTCCCTTCTAAACATGTGCTGGGCTTCGCGTAGGGGCTACCCAGAGGGGCCCCGTGTTTTAAAGGGGTGACAGCCCCTGGGGTGCCTGGTGCACGACGGTAGTGGAGACTTCATTTCCAGGAAGGAGGAAGGGGGAAGGTGGGTGCCCTCGTCACCCCTTGGACCCGGGGGCAGGTGGTGGATTCCTGGGTGAGGCCTCTGCTGGAAGCTGGTGCCCTGGTGGCTGCGTTCCAGGAAGGCTGGCCCTCCCTGGTAAGCCCCAGCTTCTAGGCATGCCATGAACTGCACAGACGCCCACTGTGGCCGGTAGGTGGGGTCCCTGCCACAGGGTGCTCCCAGGCGTTGGAGGCAGGTGCTGGCAGGGTGCCTACATGCCTTGAGAGTATGGGTCACAGGGACCTTGGGTGAGGTAGGGCCAGAACCGGGCAGGGGCCTCAGGGCAGACGGTTACCTGCTCCCCACGGCTGCTTTCTGGGCGTGGGTATATGGGGCCCTGCCAGGTTGGTATCCTGCTGAGGACCGGGCAACCCGCTAGGACTACCGGCTGCCAGACCCTGGGGGAAGGGGCTCAGTGGGACCTCGGTGCCCTCCCTGGGCCCCCTCGGGATCTGGAGTGGAGTCTGGTGAGGCTGATGGAGAGTGCGGACGTGTGTGTGTCGGTGTGGACTCTGCTGAGGCTGATGGAGGGTGTGGACGCGTGTGTGTCAGTGTGGACTCTGCTGAGGCTGATGGAGGGTGTGGACGCGTGTGTGTCAGTGTGGACTCTGGTGAGGCTGATGGAGGGTGTGGACGCGTGTGTCAGTGTGGACTCTGCTGAGGCTGATGGAGGG